GTACTAATAAAATTGAAGAATTTTGCTCACCTAAACTGAATTTGCAGACAAACTGTACTTCACAGCAGGCCATGTTTATTTCCTGAGAACTTTACCTGAATGCTTCCAATGCTTCAAAAGGCACCAGCAACACAAATATGTTATCTGACTCTCTCCTGGAAAGGTAAAGCCATCAGATAATAAGCAGTTACAACTGCCTGTGCTGAAAAACCTGTCAGTTAAAAAAAGCCTGTACAGTTGAGGGATATAGATACAGATAACACCAAAACAGTATGTTGTACCAGGTTATAAACGTTCTTTTTAACACTGTAAAGCTGGACGTTTTCATCTGGGACTATATGGGGATTTTCTTTTTTAGACCCTGCCTCAACTGCCATTGAAGAAAGTGAAGTTTTTTCTGTTGCACTTCCTACTTGGCTTCCTTTCAGCCCTGAAGAATAGAGGTAGACCCCTTACAATGTTCAAACTACCTGCCTAATTTTGTCTAGCTCCCCTTGAGAATGGGTGGGCAAAACATGACTCTTGCCTGTGACGTCACCATAATTATTAAAGGGTGACCTATAGTTTTTATTGTATTTGTTCAGATCAGTGTGGCAGTCAATGAATAAAGCTGTAAAGGTCAAGACTGAGTCAAATTCAAAGGAGTGCGTGTAAGACCATGGTACAGGAAACACACACAAACGCTGGTACATATATCTTTGTGAGGACTCTGTGACATAACACATTTTCAAGACCATAACGCAAAAATGAAAGCCTCCCTATTGTTACTGAATACTGATTCTAATCTTAACCTGAAAAACAAATCTGAACCTAAAGAAAGTTTTGACCAGACACAAAGTCCTCATAAAGCGAACATTAACAACAGCAGGGACAAATGCACAAACTGGCAATGGAAATCTCTCTTGGACATGCCGAGTACCACTTCCTTTTCCTGCCAAGCAATCAGACAGCGCTGCCGCTACCCTATGCAGCATGTTTGTGTTAAAGGTTGTGCTGGAGATAGTGAAACATCAGCAATTCCAGAAGACTCTGGACAATATTAGGAAAAAGATGATCTGTTGCACTTGTTCTAGTTTCTTTACTTCAATCTTCTGTAATTTTTGAATTTTATTGAAATAACACATGTAAGAGAAAGTTAGTAAAAATCAGAAACCACTAAAACATAAAGTAATGTTTTCCTGGTTGCACTCCTCTCCTGATCTCGTCGATAACAAATGTAACATACAAGCAGAAAAGCTGGTAGGTGTGTAATGAGTGCATTAACTCTGAAGCAGCCTTCATGCACGACCATTCTCCCTGTAACTTATTAAGACTTTCGACCTACAAAGGGCTTTAGTGGACTCTAGCTGATTTCTGAAACCCTTTTGGCAAAGACAAGATGCTTGACACACTTCATAGTCAATACTCTGTGATGTGCTGCAGAAACATTTTGGTTCATAACAGGAACGCACTGATTGTTGAAATCGCTTATTGAAATATATGGTTAATGTCATTTGGGGGTTTATTTGTTTTTCTGATTAATTTCACTCATTTTCAGTACGGTGAAAAAAGTTTTTGTAGATTCAAGAACTGAGAAGAACTGTTTGACAGTGATTAAAATAGTATTTTTGCACCAACGAGGAAATTCCCACAGAGCTATTAGCTGGAAAGTGGACAAGTGGAGGACCAAAGAAGTGGCAGGACTGAAGATCTATCTATAGCTGATCACACAGGAGGTGAGGGTAGGGATGTCACCGAGCCTGATACTTAGGGTAGCTCTCAACACAATAAAAACACAGTGGTACGTGTTTGCTTCTGGCCCTAGAGTTGATCCAGTTCTACCTACTGTTTGCCGAAGCCTCTTCAAGTGGTCTCGGGCGAAGGTTGGCTGTCAGGAAGCCATTCTTAAGGAAGCAAACCAAGGCTGAGGTATGCCAGTTACTGTGACAACAACTAAACTGAACATCGGTAACAACACCTTTTAAGGACTCGTGAATCTAAATTTGAATTTTTTAGTTCAAATTGTCATCGATATGTATGGAGGACGTCAACAGGAAAGTACAACCGCCATCCGCAACCATCTGTAAAACAATGTAGGCTCTGCTATGGTTTGGGGCTATGTGTCAACCAGTGGTGTTGGAGATCTTTTTCAAAACTGATGGAATTATGAACTTACTAAATAGTAGGTTGCTCAAGACTTCTGCAAAATACTATAGCTGCATCTCTTCTTCATAATAGCATGTATTTATTTATTTCAGTCTGTCCAAAAGCCTAAAACCGCCGCCCCTCAAGGGGCCTCACACCAGGACAACTAACTCTTGCAGCTGAATAATGACTTCTAGCAAATGTCTAGTCATCAACTTGCTTGCTAAAGCAACAGAAAGACAGACTTGTCAGGTCAGGCAGAGATACTGAAGGTGGTCCTGCTGGAGTGTCCCACAGGTCCAATGGTGGCTGCTGAATTTTTAGGCATTTCTAGAGCATCATTAGGACTTAAATGAGCCAGCATTACTGTTGCATCAAATTTGATCAAGTATGTGAGTTAAAGTTTTAAAACAGGTTCGGCAACATCAGTATCACAAATTTACTCTTGTAAGAACATTATTAACCATCTGACTTTTGAGTAGGTGGGATCTCACGGTGCCCTGGTGATGGGGATCTTAACGGGGTCTCTCATCCAGACTGTTTTGTTCATGTGTCGCCTTACAGATGTAAGGTATCACTGAGTGACCGTGGGGATTTCCTTCCCCCTGAAATAAGGTGAAAAAGGGTCCAGTTTGATCCATTTAGATTCAGTGATGTGATTATGGCACTTTATAATAAAGTGTACTGTTACTGCTGTAGTGGTGATGCTAACGCTACACAAGTCCCAGAGCAGGAGGGCTGCTTTCATATTAACCTCCATCAAAGCAGACATTAAGGCCACTGATGCTGGCCATTAGAAAGTTTCTAAAAACTTCTAAACTGGTTTCACTATTCAGACCTGAAAGCAATGTCCATCCATAACATACACTCAGTGGGTGCACAGTGCACCACTGTTGACCTGCACCACCTGCTTTCAGTGGGTGTCACTCATTCTCACACTGCCCAAATCAATCTAAAACCAAAAGCTTCAAAGCCTTCATTTTAAAAATATGTTCAACAAGTTCTCTCAGCACAGGACAAAGTCTGGTATGTTTTCACAAAAACACACTTTTTTTGCAGGGAAAAGCACACACACAGAAGCTTCTCCACAAAAACAAAAAATGCGCATATGTCACCTTCCTTCTTTCAAAACACTGACGAGCCTGTACACTTCTTCACCTCAGAGTCAGTCTATCGTCTCTGGAGTTCTGGATAAAGCAGTTCATTGCACGGACTATTTTTCCATCACCTGTGAAACTTTGCAAATGCAAATATTGTCTTTGCTCTTTTTTCTTTAACTGCAGGCTTTCTGCATTAAAGCAGCTGCTCCTGATGCACGTAGACCTATAATAACTCCTCTGTTTCAGGCTTTTTTTAATGTCTCTTTATGGATATTATTCACAATCAGTGGTGGGCAGTATATCATATATATCAGTCATATTTTAACCATAATATGACAAATAGTTCCACTACAGCGAAGAGACAAACAAGAGGTTAAATTCATGATAGTCAGAAGCATTGATGTGGATCTGAAGAGGAAACCGGCGCTGACAGCATACTCACAGTTTAATCACACTATTTAATAATCCACAACTAATTCACTTCAACAGGGCAAATATCAAAAACACAATACTTTGTGAAACATACATGTACTAGCAATGACTGCATATTTACACAATGACATCATAGTGTTGTCTTGATACATGCTCAGTCTTCCAGGTCAGAGTTTCTATATAACAGCCCTTACTGCAAACAGTAAACTGTTATTACTATATTAGACAAGGTTGAACTACACATCCTAAAAGCCAGGTACACACAACTAAGAAACAGTGTATCAGATATCAGTCCAGTCCTCTCTTAAAAAGCTGTAATGGTTATGGTGACAAGTGGCCAACAAGCTATATTGTTTAATTCCACTGAATTGTGTTGCATGGTGCTCTGTGTTTTTACATGCATCAGCAGCAGTGCACCTGTTGCTATCAGGAGAGTTAGTTTGGACTTATTTCATGTCTGGTATTGCATCCTTTTTTAAAAAAAACATAAGTGCCAAATTACTGTCAGGCGAGTGAGCACTGAAATGCTCCACTCACAATACAACCCTCTCTGTTTGGTTTAAAGCTTGTAAGGAGGCTACTGCTGCTGTCAGCTCCGGTTATATTATCAGACTGAACTGAGATGAGACTAGTGCACATAAATCCGCTCAAAAGAAAAGAAAAAGAAAGAAAGAATATTTCGTCATTATTTTAATGGGAAGGTTGCCGGTTCGAGCCCCGGCTCGGACAGTCTCGGTCGTTGTGTCCTTGGGCAAGACACTTCACCTACTGCCCGATAGCGCGATATGGCAGCCTCGCTTCTGTCAGTCTGCCCGAGGGCAGCTGTGGCTACAACTGTAGCTGCCTCCACCAGTGTGTGAATGAATAGTGGAATTGTAAAGCGCTTTAAGGGTCTAGAAAAGCGCATATAAATGCAATCCATTATTATTTATCTTTTTCCTGTTTTGGGTTGTTGTGCCAGTAAATATAAACCCTTTAACTTTATTTTACTTCCATGTGTTTGTTTGTTATGTTTTATTTTACAAAGTTGAGAAAACAAGATTAAAGTGGAGTCTGATGTTGTTTGATGGAAGAATGCTTCCCAGTCTCTTCCTCACAGGGACGGATAGTCAACAACTAATCATTCAACACTGTGTCGGCTCAGCGCTGAGCACTGACACCTGAAGCCACGTGTCGATCTACAGAACCCAGTTTAAACTCCTCATCTTCAGGTTTTAATGAAGCTGGGGGCTTCGCTCAGGCTGTTAACGGATGTGTGCGCACAGAAGTACAACGAAGGTGTTCACAGTCATTTCCACAGCGCACAAGTGCACACAGAGCACATGACAGTGACGGTACACTCACCCCAGCGTGCTGATGAAGCCGTTCACCGTGCCCTCGGCATACAGGGATACAATGTCCCCGATGTGGAGGAAGCTGGATGCAGAGTCAGACATTCTGCAGCTGATTTATTTCAACAGCGAGAGGAACCCGCAGGTAGAGCCGAGAGAGAGGAACTTTCTCCCCGCTCCTGTCCTCTCCTCTCCGCGTGTGGAAGTTCAGAAGCAGCGAAGAAAGTCAAAGTTTCCTCCTCGCATGCAGCGGCTGGAGTCCTGAGAGTTCAGGAGAACCTCTTTACATTCACCCCGCTTCAGTCCTGCCGTCTTCAAGGACTCACCGGCGGCTGCTGCTGCATGACAGCGAACTGTGGAAGAAAAACACTCTGAAGGAGCTCGCAAACTTTTTACAACAGGAGCGCAACGGGGGCCCACCGCTGATCCGTACCTGAGTCTGCAGAGAGGCCGTGCGGAGCACCGGAGGAAACATCTGTGTGGAGATCTCGCCGCAGGTTAAAGTGTTCACACAGAGGCGCAGACACGCAACGCGACCTGCTCCGTCCCTCCCTCTCAGTGTGTGTGTGTGGTGGTGGGGGTGTGCACGCTCGCGCGCTCACGCCGAAGACTCGGGTACTAAAAACCAGGAAGTGAGTTAAGGCGTTGATAAGACTGACAGACGGCTTCAAGAAAGAAAAAATGCGCGCGCACACACACACGGGTGTAGTGAACGCAACGCGAGCTCGGAGGCCGGTGTGACGCGTGCACTGGCAGCCTGCAGGACGTGTCCGTGCGCTCCCGAGTTTAGTGACATGTAGCCAGAAACGGTTCAAATCAAAAATCGGTCAGAATATTTGATCATAAATACAGCGAGGAGAAAAGATTCAGATAAACTGGACCTCTTGTGTAACTCTGTGCAGCCGCTGCATGTAAAAAGGCTGCACAGAGTTCAGATGTTATTTTGCAATCAATAAAATGTTTCTATTTAAACTGTAAATGCAAGTAAAATTCAGAATCTTATCTAACATATCTAGTATAGTACAGGCTCCCATTTGAACAAATAAGTAAAGCTTTATAATACATTTAGAATTCACCCGCCACTTCATTAGGTACACCAGTTCAACCTTTTATGTTTGCAGAAGAGCACAGTGCATTAGATCTCCACGCAGATGGGCTACAACAGAAGACCACAGCATCTGCCACTCCTGTCAGCTAAGAACAGGAAACTGAGGCTACACTTCACAGGGGCCTGAACTGACAGAAGGCCTACACTTTTAGTCTCTTAGCAACAAATGAGCCTCATTTAAATAGCACAGCCTACATGACCATTGGTTTTTGGTTTTTTTTGGGGTTTTTTTTGCCTGTCCCGTTTGGCTCTTTTGCATCAGAATTGTTGTCTAAAGACAAAGAAAGATGCCCAACGGATTTACTTTACCAAATTGACCATCCCAGCCTTGCCATAATGGTCCATTTGATTCACCTTTTATTGTTTATTTTATTTTCACTTACTGAATACGGGACAGACTTGACTGTGGGAAAGAAGGGGAGAAAGAAAGAGGGAAAGAGAAACAGCTGAGAAGAGGGACGGGGGAGAAGGGTAAAAAACAACAGAATGGGCAGAAAAAAAAAGAAAAAAGAAAATGCATATATCAATCACCTGGATCACCTGCTGAGAAAGAAAAAAGAAAACAAGCAGAAGAGAACGAGAGTAATAGAATAAACAACATCACAATGATATATGGGAATATGACAGTAAATACTAAATATTAAACATGACCATTGTTGACGACTAGGTTGGTCTTGATGGCTGCTTCCAGCAGGATAAAGCACCGTGTCACGAAGATTAGGCTTAAAACTTTCCTTTTTGCTAAAGCATATAGTTAGGGCTGGACCAGGTGACCCTGAATCCTCCCTTAGTTATGCTGCAATAAGCATAGGCTGCTGGGGGATTCCCATGATGCACTGGGTGTTTCTTCTTCAGTCACCTTTCTCACTCACTATGTGCTTATACATCTCTCTGCATTTAATCATACTTGTTATTATTCATCTCTGGGTCTCTAACACAGCCTGGTTCTGACGGAGGTTTCTTCCTGTTAAAAGGGAGTTTTTCCTTCCCACTGTCTGTATGTATTATCGTAGGGTCTACCTTACATTATAAAGCGCCTTTAGGGGACTGTTATTGTGATTTGGTGCTGTATAAATCATATAATGTAAAGTAGCAATGTGTTTAGCATTAACCGCTTTCCCCAGGCTTGAGCATCAACAGGAAAGAATCTGAGGATACAAAAATGGCACGATTCACATTTTGTTCCACAATATAATTTTTACAAATTCAGTTATGTTTTATGTTTTTTAAAGTGTAAAAGAAGTTACTATATTAAAAAAATGTTGGCAATAAACAAACGTCATCACCAGCAACCGGAAGTCGGGTTATGATGCTCGATGTTCTGGACAATTTTAATCACCTGTTAGAAAAAAGTCTTTGTAAAAGCAACAAAATCCATGAATTTCTGATTTTTCATATATTGTAGAAGAAAATGCGAAAATGTCAACTGCAGGTATAATTTCTGGTATCCAAGCAAGAACATGCATGAAGTGCAAACTTATTTCTGGGTTTCAGAGTTCCTCAAGTGGACATTAGAGACATTGCAGTTTTCAATCAGTCTCCAAATTTTCCTGCTCACTTAACTCTAACCAGCCATGTTTCTCTAGAGCCCACTGCTGTTTTATAGACTTCTAAATATTTACAGGGATCTTTTTAAATTCCTTTCAAATCATCCTGAAGTTTTCCAGCATCTGAGAAATTACTAAAATGTTTTTTCTTTTGTCAAACAGAACTTGATTTCACCATCATTGTTATGCGACTGAAATTTAAACCATGACAACTTGTTTCTCTCAAAGATGTGAAATGCAGAAGTTTGTGGTTTGCAGTTGTAAACCACAATTTTCCGTCACAAGACAGAAACACCCAGAAGCCGTGTTTTTACCCCACAGATGTGCAGGCTGAGTGTGTCTGTGGAGTCCTGCTGAGCGCAGTTCTTCTTTTAACTGTTAAATGAGCAGGTAAGCTGTCTGATGCACTTCAGCTATGCTCCAGTAAACATCACAGACGTCTTATTCACCGACGGTTCATGAAGCTCTGTGGAACACCTCAAGTATTTACATAAAGAAAACAGACCAAAGTGATATCAAATGACAGCTGTCTGTAGGCTTGACTCAGTCTAGCTCTGTAAAGAAAAGAGGAAACAAGCAGGGCGAAACACAGTCTTGTTCCTGATTGGCTGGAAGGTGTGACACGCTACACTGAGGCGGCACAAATATTGGTTCCAGACCATTGAACTGGTGCCCACATCTGAGTTTCAGGGATTTAAATGACTCTGTTGAGTAATATAGAAGTGCACAGTGTCATACATGGAAGTGTAAATAACACATGAAAACATGAGTGAAGAACTCTAATGAACAATGCTTTAAAAAAACAAACTTTAATATTAGCCCTTAAAATGCATCCAGGATTAAAATACATGCCTCATGTCTGTGGTTGTAATTTAAGAAAATCTAATCGCAATGAACTGACTGCACACTGGTGTTTTTTTATGTGGACTGTTAGCGTCATTTTTACCTTTTGCCTCCAGTTCATCTTCACTGGACCTGGATAAAAGTCACACAGGTGATGATTTATGATCTGCAACTTAATCCTGTGTATTTGTGTTAAACCCCAAAGACCTGGATACTGAACTACAACACACACACACACACACACACACACACACACACACACACACACACACACACAGACTCGCATCCCGACAGGTTGGTAATTGGGATGCAATACCACAAATGACCACTAGGTCAAAGAGAGCTGTTTTCATGCATTATTGCTCAACAGATTTATATATTTAATCCATGTGAACAAAAAGTTCCGGCTTTAGACTCTGCTACCAAAAACTTTTTATATTTGTTTTTATACAGCCACGTGTTATAGGCACAACACAAACAAGGAGGCACGAGCAGCACTGTGCCCCACCCCTCTACTGGCATCTGGAAGCCGGCCAGTCAGAATAAAATGGACTTTAAGCCAGGGGGCCTTAAAGAGACAGGAGCCCGAATGGCTCGTTTCAGAGGATCAGTGGATCAACTGAGGCGTCATGTTTTCAGCTTTTGCCTGTACATCCACGACAACAACTGCTAACAGTTAATTAGGCACATTTTAGGCCTCCAGTATGACTGCTTTGGTCCACTTTAATGGCAGAAATCTAGCATAGACTCACAAGTGATTATTTGCAAATTGCTGCAGCTGCAAAGGCTCCACTCCCATGCAAAGTTGGATATATTAAAAATAAAAAAAAAGATGGTGACGCACGTGTGTCCCAAAAAAGTCGAGACAGTTTAAATAAAAAGAGAGAAACCTCATAACTCATATTTTATTCACAATTGAAAACAGAAAATATATCAAATGTTTAAACGAAGACAAATCTCCATTTTAAGAAAAATGTTCGCTTCTTTATGTCTCAAAAAAGTTGTGACAGGGTCATGTTCCCCGCTGTGTAGCATCTAATCTTCCTTTAACAGCAGACTGTAAAGGTGCAGGAGCAGAGGAGAGCAGCTGCTGCGTTTTGTTGTCACTTTCTGGTCTGATAGAATATTTTAGTTGATCAGCAGTTCTGAGTTTTCTTTGGTGTGTTTTTCATTTCATGATGGACCAAATGTTTGGTGAGAAGTCTGGAATGGAGGCAGGCCAGCTGAGGAACTGGTCCCGTCTTTTGTGAAACCATGATGTTGTAATAGATGCAGTTTAGCATCGTTCAGCTCAAATGTGCAGGACTTTCCCTGAAAATGCAGCATTGATGGTTGTCACGTCCATAGGTGTTGTTGCTTTACTCAACATGTTTTGTTCTTTTTGTGTTTTGTTTAAAGGCTTTTTGGATTGATTAATAGTTGTAGTTTCAGAGGCAGTTATCCCTCCATGTGCTGTACGTAAATGCAAGGGAAACCGCAGCTGAACACAATAATAGTAATCAGTAATCCACTCACGCCACTTCTTCCTCTCCATTTACAGATTTATAACAACATGTGAGTTTCCGTGGTCACGTGGTCTCTGTGGTGACTGAAAAAATAAGGCCAAC